TTCTGTTCTGTTAAGTTCGTTTATTCCGTTCATTTATTTTATTTATAACCGGCTGTATAAAATATCCAGATGGAGACTTTACTTTTATATTAAACTTTATTCTGTTTAGTTCGCCAAAAGATAGAGTGAGGGCGTTAGTGTGACAGATTTCATATAAAAAAGCTACTGTATTAGAGATCTTTTGAAAATATATGCAACTACCACCGTGCGGAAAAGTTCGTCTTACTCCCGTAAGACTTTTTATTTTTTATTTAACTACGCATTTTGACTTTTCCGCACACACCTATAAAATGAAACACGGTGTGTTACACTTCAATAAATTTTGTTTTGTTCAGAGTATCATTATTTTCTGCTGCTCAGCATATGACTGAGAGCTGAGTAATGCTGAACTCGTACGGCTAACGCATACGAAACGGACGCACGATACATATTCCTCTTTCGCTTCGTATGTGCTGCCGTTGACGCTATTACCGCTTTTGTTTCACTTACGCGTAAAATACAACGGCATCAACGGTACCACACTATGGCCACTGTTAAATGTCAATTTTAGCCGTGAGACTTTGTAATGAAATAACTCAAATTATTTAGCTTGGATTTCGAAAAAATAATTCTATATTAAACCCCCTCTGCTATTTATTTTAATTAAACTTGGCTGAGACTTTGGAAAAAATGGGAGAGGGGGTTTGGAATGGAACCATCAATTGAATGGGCCAGAATAAAAATCCGACTTGTACGCAGAGTCTATAAAAGTGGAACACAGCTTTTTTTACATAGAATTGTTGTTGTATTACAACAAATAAACTATGTAAAAAAACGCCATGTTCCACTTTTATAAACTCTGCGTACAAGTCGGATTTTTATTCTGAATCATTCAATTCTAAACCCCCCTCCCATTTTTATTTTTATTGGATTTTATTTGGCTTGCCCGCGTGAACATGCCAGACCACCGTACGCTTTATTTACACTTTGCTCACACCTTCATTTTCATTTTTATTTCTTAATGCTTATTTTGCATTGAAAGTATAGCGAGAGTGTGACGAAGGTGTAGCGAACGTATACTACAATACTCTTTCACACTTTCGTCAGACCTTTGCTTCTTTTAATGTATACAAAAAGAAATAAAGGGGAACATGCGCGAACGCTCGTTCAGTCTTGTGTTCCATTTTAAACCCCATCTCCCATTAATTTTAATTTATCTTGGCTAAGGTTTCTGAAAAATATGCACGAGATTAGATTTAAAACGGTGGCCAAAAATGACTTTTTGTGAAAAACATTTTGGCCACCATGAAATTTCCCTTTTAGCCACGTAGCCAAAAATGATTCTTTAATAAATACATTTTGGCCACCGTGAATTTTATTTCATAGCTACCGAAAAAAATATGGGTTGTCCAAAATGTGCGTGGCGCCTTAAAAAAAGACTAATTTTTTCGCTTTTTATGAGATGACAATATATGAACCATTGAGAAACAAAGACCTTCAGAAAAATTGAGAAAAAATCTTCAACATGAACTGGAATTTAAATCAAATGTAAACGTATAAGGTTATTCAATAGGTAGCATATAGCAAGTTTAAATGAAACTCTCGGAGACTCGGTATAGAGCACTCCCAAAGTGAAAAAAAATCCAGATCGTGATTTGGATGATAAGAAAATCTTGTAATTTTCTGTATCGCCTTGCAATAGCCAAATGACGCCTATTGTTCAATCACGATTGGTATTCGCTTACTATTCAATAGGCATCCCATGGCAAGTTTATATGAAACTCTCGGAGCCTCGGTATACCCCAGGGGGGTCGGTCATAACCCCTTCACCCATGATTTTTTTCACTCAAAACCTTGAAATTCGGAATCAGCATGCCAAAATACCCTAGAAATGATGTTTGTCTTGTTGACCCCATTAGGGTAAAATGATAAAAAGTCGATTTTTCACTTTTTGGGTGCGGAATTTCGCTCTCAAATGTATGGCCAACTATAACTAATTTTATCCGCACATTTCATTTAGGCCATTTCCCATCCCCTCCCATCACCCCCAAGAGAGGTCCCCCTACAAAATTCACGAAAATTTCGGAAAATACTTTACTCCTTATAACTTGAACATTTAATTCGGGTCGAAAAGTGAAAACACCCCATGTCGTTGTGATTTCACATCTCATATTTTGGAAAATACCTACATAGAAAAATTAGAAGGCTCAATTAGACATATGGTTCCTTGGGCAAAAATAATTGTCATGACCCATAGAACCAAAATCGCGATGTGCACTTGATGCAAAAATATGGACCCACCCTAAAATATATATATTTAAATTTTAAATGTTTTGTTATTTCAGATGTTGATAATGCTGATGAGAATACTACTAAAAAAAATGAATTACCATTATTTGAGGAATCGAAGCAAGATGAAATACATATTTCAAGTACAAAAAACACACCAGAACGATCCACACAAAGCTATGTATCTACCTTGAAGTCTACTACTAATAATGCTACAATGAGTCAAGCTACCGGCTCAATGAGCATTACTCCAGAATCAGCTAAATACCAATATGGAAACTATGCTGGCCCATACTGTGGATTACAAAATTTAATCAACCTTTCCGACGTTCGTTTAACTGTTTTTCTTCGACACGCCTATTTATTTAAAGATAAAGATATTTTGGATATTGGGTGCAATGTTGGTCATATGACAATCGCCGTAGCTCGTAAATTAAATCCAAATTCAATAATAGGTGTTGATATTGATAAAAATTTGATAGCTAGAGCACGTCGAAATTTATCTATTTTCCAACGCATGTCCGAAAATGAATTACGTAACTTGAAAGGAAGTTACAAGATAAAATACGGAATGCAACTACGAGCTCGAGATCGCGAAAGATGCGATTTAAGTCAAATTGATTTCTTTCCTCTCACATTTCCAATTTGTTTTGGTGGTTTGCCAAATGTTAAACAAAAAGTTGAATCACCATCCGCATCACCTGCGAGCAGTACACAAAATATAAGAATAACAGAACAGTTTGGAGTTGGTTCTTTTACTAAGTTACCAAACAATGAGATTGAATCCTCAAATAAAACACAAAACGATACAATTGCAAATCGGGCACAATTCCCCAGTAATGTATTCTTTCGCACACTCAATTATGCGGTAACTGAAGAATCACAAATGGTCTCCGACAGACAACAGTATGATTTGATATTATGCTTATCACTCACTAAATGGATTCATTTGAATTTTGGTGATGCTGGTCTTAAAATGACTTTTCGTCGAATGTTCAATCAATTACGACCAGGAGGAAAGCTTATTTTGGAGGCTCAAAATTGGGTAAGTTCCTTTTGTTCTTTCATTGTTCATTCATATCTATTACCGAGTGAATATCTTAGATGTTTAAGAAAGTAAACGTTCACCCAGACGTTCGTCATATAAACTTACATTGCTGCTTCATAAAAAAAGAATAACAAGTTTATATATAAATCGGATATAATATTCTGAGCTCAGGAAATTTTTTAAGGAAAAGAGCAACATGTTCATATAAAAAATGTAGGGTCACTTTACAGTTTTATTTCGACAAATTTCTTGAGGTCACGAATATTCTAGCCGGTTCATATGTCGAACCTATACACACCTTCGCTAGATAATCATGTACTGTTATTAGCATGCTTATGCTTCCTTAAGGAATATATTTATATTTGGCGAACGTTTTATTTCACAGGGTGAGTGTGCAATGTGCATGCTGGTGAAAACATAGTAAACTCATTGGTAATGACTTTCATATAGAACAACAATGTAGGTTTATTTGGCGAACGTCTACATACTTGCTGAACGTCAAGATGTTAATTGAATGTCTTTATTACTTAAATAATTTTACTTTTTGAGGACTACTCCATTCCAAAAGTTCCGGAACTTTTGAAGAATAATAGATATCATTGGCGCCACCTACTGGATATAATATTCGTTAAAAAGAGGGAGTTCTCATTTACATTGTCTGAAAGTTTCGCGAAGATCGGATGTAAACATGTCAAGATATTGCGTCTTATTTTTAGTATTTTTTGCTCTCGGTGACAAAATGGATTTCAAACAAAGAGCTGCAATTGAGTTTTGTGTTAAACTTGGTAAAAATTTTACCAAAAAGACATAAACGAATAGGGATGCGTTAGTTGATTTAAAAACACTTTTTTTCTTATAAATATTTATTGTCTTTTTACCAACCGGCTAAGCCTATGAAGAGACAAAATGCGAATTCCCCTCATCTGTGCCATCTTGTATTCCATAGTTGAACTCAATTTAGTTACAATGAATTGAATCGAAAAAGAGAAAAAAAACAACAACAGTAACATGGCTACATAGATCTGTTGACCAGTGAGATACGTATAGCAATGGAATGAAAGAATGAAGAAAGCGTATATGTGTATGTATGCATCAGCACGCATAGATGTACAGCTCTGTGTGGCCGTGCTATTGTTGTTGTTTTTTCACTTTTTCATTTCAATGCTACAGAATTAAATTCAGTTTTTGCATCTAATTCACACTAAAATCAGATGGCGCTCATTAGCGAGATTCGCAAAAAAAAGTGTCCAATCTCATACAAATATACACCGGCTGCTTTTTACAGAACAATTGTTTCGACGCTCAATGCGTCATCATCAGCTGTAGAATTTTAACTAGTTAAAACGTCGAAACAATTGTTCTGTAAAAAGATAATTCCTATTCTTTATTAGTTTTTTCATTATTTCCATTATCGTTAGTTATTCAATCGTAATTTAAAAAAAACTAAAATGATTATAATGGAAAGATTTAAAGCATATAGACAATAGTCACCCCAGAAAAATATTCAAAATTCTGCTCAGATAGAAATTTTCAACTTTTTACCCCCAACATACACCGCAAAGGGTTTTTCAAAATTTCCACCCCCTAAGAGTGGCTCTATTATGTGCGCCACCCTGTATATTAATGATCTTTTTAATTCTTTCTATTATAATTTTTAATTATATTTATTTTTTCTCTTAGGCAAGTTATAAAAAGCGGAAAAAATTGACAGTAAGTTTAACAACTATACTTTGCTTTGATGATTCTTAACAATCTTTTTTTTTAGCCAACCATTTATAACAATTACAAAAATATTGAATTTTTCCCGAACAATTTTCACGAATATTTGTTGAGTCCAGAAGTTGGATTTAGTCATTCATATACTTTGGGTGTAAGTTCGCGTGGGGGTAATCATTTTAAAAACTACTTTCTTTATTGCAATTCATTTCTTTGATTTTTTTTTTCTATTTTTTTATCATTGTCTAGGTTCCAAGACATACAAGTAAGGGTTTCTACCGACCCATTCAAGTATGTATTAAAAGACAATTAATATTATTTATTCATCAAATTTCTAGTATTGAAAAAAGGCAATTTAAATTCGCATTTGAAAGAACACACCTTGGTGTGCCACAACGAAATATGATTATTGTTTCTTTAAAGATGAAAATTTGCATAACTTATGTCCTCTCCTCCTCTAATTCTGAAAGAGAAGCTTAATTCTTCTCCCGTAATTAATTCTTTCCGAGTGGAATCAGAAACTCCTTATATAGGATCAACTTGTGATATGAATCAATATCAATAGCAGAATTAACACAGTTTTTTTGTTCGAAGTTACACCAGTAATGTGAGAAGAGGAGGGGGAGGGGAGCAGTATCCAAATTATTCCAATTTGCTAGGGTTTTTCGGAATTTAGAAAAATACTTCCGATTTGCTAGGGATTTTCCGGAAAAAAATTGAAATCAGACTACCTTGAAAACATTCTTATTCTGGAGATCAATACCTTTCCAACGATAATTCCTATAAAAGTAATTTATTATATCTCTCTGTCCGCGATTTTGCGTAGTTTGTTTTTTGATCTTTTTGAAACTTTCTGAGACACCACGGACATATTCATATCTTTCGAAAGGTCTTGAAGAAAGCCAAGTCAAAAAAAAAAAAAAAATTCAAATCCACTTGGATTTTTCACTAATTTAGTTTTTTCACTAATTTTTCACTAATTTTATCAGACAATATATTGGGCTAGATATTCATTTGAAATGAAAAGAAATAGCACGCTATTTTTTATAAAACAATAGAAGTGATTGTTATAATTATTGTACCAACGTAAGTGTTTTATAACTACAACAATCACTTCTATTGTTTTATCAACAATAGCGTGCTTTTTATTTATTTATTTATTCAGTTTTAGAGTCTACTTTGATAAGTCGACTATGTAGTTACACTTTTAGTTTTAGTTGCTTGGAAAAGAGTGGTCTATGACCCTCACTAAAAACCAAGATCTTTTCGTAAAGAAAATTATTCTTACAATTAGATTAATATGTAATAGAAAGTAAATAGATAGATAGCTTAGTTAAGTTAAATCCAATTTGATGCAAATTAGACAAAACAACATAAATACAATAAAGGGAATATATAGAATTAATAAATAAATCTTTGTAAAAGACTAGTCAAAGGTAATTGGTAAATGAATTTAGTCAATTAATCAAGTTACGAATAATATTGTCTAAAGTTAATGAATTTAAATCTCTAAATTTAGTCAGTCATATATTAGTCATGCGTTCCATGAGTTAAATAATTGAATCACAGTCTTTTCATTTCAAATGAATATTCAGCTCAATATATTTACTGTTTTTTATTGCTATGAATATTGATTATAAGTACACTTTTTTCAAATTACAGCTATATATAAAAGGTGATTTCACACCAAGTCAAATTCGTTGGAGCGATACTTATCATCCACAAACACCCTATGAGCCAATGATTGGTTATTCACATTACGTTGATCCGATGAGAATTACATATGGTTCTCACTGGAACTACAAAGTGTCCAACATGTATAAAAATCGGGATACGTCTTTTCCCAATAGTGCAAATTTATATAATACACCATCTCATGGCATCTCATCAACATCACGATATTATAATCCTTTAGAAACCGACAGTTATTTACCAAGGTACGTTACGATTAAAAAATAAAGAATCTTACGGGAGATGCGTATTTTATTGTGCTAGTACAAAATAATATTTATTTGATTTTTCAAGCCTTCCGAGCGGCGTAAAGTTCGAGACCAAAAAATATGTTCAAACTTTGGCATCGAAATATTCTTTAATTTAATAGCAGAAGTACTCGCAAAAGATTTTTCACACTTTCATGATGAACCCTTTTGTACGACATTTGAAAGTATTCTATTTTCTAACAAAACGCAATAAAAACTATGTCTGACGTTAAACTTTTCATACAAAATCCACAAAATAATTGGATTTTTCTATAGAAACCATGCCTTTATGGTATCGTAAGGACGTGAAACTTTGCACAGGCTATTTTTTCCACAAAAAATAACATTCGGAGAGTTTGGAGAAATTTCAACGAAAATTAAGGGTACCTTCCGAAAATTAAGGGCATGGAAGGTACCCCTAATTTGTACTGAAATCTCTTAAAATTTTCAGAATGTTATTTTTTTGTGTAAAAAATAGTCGGTGCAGGTATGGCTACAGATTTACCAGCATTAAAATTGTAATGTTACTAACCATTACATTAACATAAATGTTTGTAATAGTTACTAGAATTGTATTAGATATAAGTAAAAAACACTTCTTTGGAAGTTCTCACTGTGACGCAATACTGCACATCAAATCTGAAAATGCTCTGATATAAATTTTCAGTGACGCTTGCAATCAAATACACAAACAATTTCCATATTGCGTTGCCTTTCTCATTCTTAGAAAATTAAAAATGAAAATTTCATTGTGATAATGCCCAAGAGGCAACGCAATATAAAAATTATTTGTGTATTTGATTGCAAGCGTCACTGAAAATTTATATCAGATCATTTTCAGATTTGATTTGCAGTATTGTGTCACAGTGAGAACTTCCAAAGAAGTGTTTTTTACTTATATCATTTGTTTTAACATTAAATTTAATTTTTCTGTTTGAAATCTACAAAAAAAATTTACTCGCTACGCTCGCCTTAATTTTATATATCCTTTTATTGTATTCATTACATTGGAAATCAAGAATATTTATATTAATCGATTTCTTGTAATGCACGCCAATTTTGTTTTGCTTTCTGCCATACTTTTATCATTTGTTTTTACATTGAATTAGAGCTTCATGTTTTTTTTTTCATTTTTAATTGTTTTTGTAAAATTTCGAAACAAAAGGAGAAATTTCTACGGTGAATTTGTAGTATGTATGGTTACCAAATCTATTCAAAACTAATTGCACCGATGTTTTAATTCATTTTTTTCAATTGAGTAAAGCCCTCAAAACATCATTTCAAGGTGTAGTTTCCTGGTTATTTAAAAAATCTTAAAAAGGTTTTGCACATAATCAGCCGTTTTACGTAGCTTGTAGGAACTTTAACTTGATAAGAGAAACATTTTTAGAATCGGCATCAAGACACATCTTCAGAAACAATATTGTCAAATTGGAAAATTCGATATTTGATCGGTGAAAAATTTAACTTTTAATTTTCATGTATTACTCAGCCGTTTTACATACAAAGTTTACACGGTGTATTACAACGCGGTCACCTTGCGGCAGAGCTACGCGTCAGTCGTATGTATTACTTATGTATACTATGCGAGACTCGATCCGCTCACACTTGTATGCGGCAGAGCTATGGACATCGCTCTATACATAAAGAATATATACGACCGACGCGTAGCTCTGGCAGAGTCTGCCGCAAGGTGACCGCGTTGTAATACACCGTGTAAACGTTGTATGTAGAACGGCTGAGTATATAGACATTAAAACAGTGAACACAGTCGATATCTGCTACTCCGAAGTCGAGAAGGCTGGTGGCTGGGTATACGATCGGGTGGTGTTTCATTGTGAACGATATTGTACAAATTTTGTGATAAATTCAGTCTGTGATCAGACGGTGAATAAATAATAAAAGGTGGTCCGCCAAATACACGCTTTTTCGAATTTTGACCAATTTTGAAAAATGTTGGTTTTAAAAAATGTGCACATTGGTTCAAAATTGAGAACTCTTTCGATCTATGATAAAAAAACGTTATTCACAGATTTTTTTTAACAAAATTACGATTTTCATCGATTTTTCCCCATTTTTTAATAGTATGGTCATAAATGGATTGAACCATCTCCACTGAATTTTTTTCAAAATTTCTTCGCTGTATGCTCTTGGGGAGCTCAATATCTTGCCAAAGAGCCGAAAATGACGTATCTTTGTTGAAAAACACCCCGTGTACCATAATCTAGAAATTCTCCAAAAATCGAAAATTTTCGAAAAAAAAAAAAAAAAATGTGTAGAAAAAATTTGGTTCGTTACGAATTTTCCCAGATATGACACACACACCAAAATATCACAAATTTGGTCCCCAACAAACGCTCAGTTTTCCACCAGAAAACTATGTATGTAATTTTTTTAATTTTCATATGCACAGAAAATAGGTCATTCGATGAAAAACTGAAAAAGTGCATTCCACTTTTTTTCGAACCCAAACCCCAGGCACTTGCGCGACGAAATCGAAAAATTCGAAGAGACATGTATGCTCAGTTTTCCATCGACTTTCGAATAAAATCGGTCTCCGGCGATTTAATTTGCCGACACACAAACATATCATTTCAAAAATGTCGTGTTTTTCGTAAGATTTTTTGACATGTTCATATCTCGGACACTTTTCGATCGACTCCAACAATTTTTTTTTCAACACTATTTACCCGAACTCCAGTTTCCGAATATGCCATTTTTTGGAAAATTGTTTCTGGTTTCGGTGGTCAAAAATGGACAAAACCAAAAATTTACCTTTTTTTTGAAACGCCAGCGGTCAAATTTTGATTTTTTTTTTGCGGATTCTTAATTTGGTGCCCGAGCACTACTAAAATATGCAAAAACCCCTTTCCAAAAGGCAGCGGTATCGATTTTCATTTCTTTACAGTATAACAGGCGGGTAGATAAGTCTTTGTTCTAACTAAGAAAAAAACATTTTTTTGGCAAAATTCAATTTTATTATTCAACATAGTTGCCTTCGAGGGCGATACAGCGATTATAGCGATCTTCCAACTTTTCGATACCATTTTCATAGTACGATTTGTCTTTAGCCTCAAAATAGGCCTCAGTTTCGGCAATCACTTCATCATTTGTCTTAAATTTCTTGCCAGCGAGCATCCTCTTGAAGTCTGCGAACAGGAAATAGTCGCTGGGGGCCAGATCTGGAGAATACGGTGGGTGGGGAAGCAATTCGAAACCCAATTCATGCAATTTTGCCATCGTTTTCATTGATTTGTGGCACGGTGCATTGTCTTGGTGAAACAACACTTTCTTCTTCTTCAAATGTGGCCGTTTTTTCGCGATTTCGTTCTTCAAACGCTCCAATAACGCTATATAATAGTCGCTATTGATAGTCTGGCCCTTTTTAAGATAGTCAATGAATATTATACCATGCGCATCCCAAAATACTGATGCCATAACCTTGCCAGCCGACTGTTGCGTCTTTCCACGCTTTGGATTGGGTTCGTCGCGTGCAGTCCACTCCGCTGACTGTCGATTGGACTCTGGAGTGTAGTGATGGAGCCATGTTTCATCCATTGTCACATATCGACGCAAAAATTCGGTTTTATTGCTGTTAAACAGCTTCAAACATTGCTCCGAATCATCAACACGTTGTTGCTTTTAATCGATTGTGAGCTCACGCGGCACCCACTTTGCGCAGAGCTTTCGCATATCCAAATATTCGTGAATAATATGATATACACGTTTCTTTGATATCTTTAGGGTCTCAGCTATCTCGCTCAATTTCACATTACGGTCATTCAAAATTATTTTGTGGATTTTTTTGATGTTTTCTGGCGTAACCACCTCTTTTGGACGTCCACTGCGTTGTGCATCGTCTGTGTCTGTACGACCACGTTTAAATTCACGAAACCAATATTTTATATTTGATTGTGCTGGCGCAGAGTCCGGGTAACATTTATCAAGCCATTGTTTGGTTTGCACAGTATTTTTTCCCATAAAAAAACAGTGTTTTATTAACACACGAAATTCGTCTTTTTCCATTTTTTTCACAATAACAAAAGTTGTTTCACTCAAAACGCTATATCTCACGAACCAATCGACCGATTGCTGTCAAATTTTGACACGTATCGTTTGAAGGTTCGTACTAACTAAAAATCATAGCAAAAAAAATCCAGTGACGCCATCTATATGTTAGGACAAAGACTTATCTACCCACCTGTTATATGAATCGTTGCGGCGAAAGCGTAGCTCTTATTTTTCTCCAAATAATACTGCAACATAAAGTTTTTTATGAATAGTTTATTTGTTGTATTACAACAAATAAACCGTGTGAAAAAAACTTCATGTTGCAGTATTATTTGGAGAAAAATAAGAGCTACTGTTTCGCCGCAACGATTCATATAGAGTGACGCAAATATACATATATTTCATATGTATGTTGATATTGCGTCACTTGGTGGACTGCCTTCCCCCGTGATTATTGTAATGCTAAAAATCTGACATTACAATTGTAATAGCATTACAGTAATGCTTCGTTACAATAACAATGTGTTACCCGTATTGTTGAAAATCTAACATTAATATTGAGACTTTTCAACACAACTTTAAGTTGAAAATATTTTTACAATAGGTGGCGTTTGTGCCTGCTCCAAGCTCATCATTGAAATTGATTGGGTTGATGAGCAATTTCAATGATGAGCTTAGAGCGGACACAGACGCCATCTATTGTAAATATATTTCCAACTTAAAGTTGTGTTGAAAAGTCTCAATATTAATGTTAGATTTTTGACATTAGCGGCAGCGTTGAGTAACACATTATTATTGTAACGAAGCATTGCCAGTAAGGTTATAAGAATAGCAATAGCTATTACTGGTAATGCTAAAATCTAACATTACAATTGTAATAGCATTACAGTAATGCTTCGTTACAATTGTAATGTGTTCTTGCAAAATGTAAATCTGTAGGTATGGCTCCAAAAATACCAAAAATTCAATTTTTTTCAAAGAAACTGTATCAAAAATTGATTGTATCTCAAAATTAACATCGGATTCGGTTTTCTCGTGCCAAATATTCCTCTAATACATATTTTTGAGTGTTTAAGTATACGTCCAGTAGGGTGCATCGATTTTTTATTTTTGAAAATGAAAAAAACGGCTAGTAGACCTGGTCGAGTGTAACATTTTTTGTTCTGGCACTTTGGCCTACACCCCCCTCATTTTCACCCCGCTCGATTTAAAGTTCGTAATTTTTCAAATGAATTTTTTTCAATTCGTATGAAAGTGAATTAGTTTTAGTATTGTTGTAGATAGTATTAGAGGAGCTCTATAAGATAGGCCCATCACAAAAATGCACTTTTCATTTTTTAGGAAAAAAAGTTGCAACGAAATTTTTTTTCGCCCATCGATTTTCAAAAAAGTCATCTAAAACATATGCTTCCATCAATATTTTTGCTCAAAATTCATGTATTTTTGAATTCCGCATGCCCACTTTACTGAAGCACCATGAATCGCCACAAAACTTTTTCCTGCAAACTTTTTTTCAGAACTCATTCGTCAATCAGAGCATTGGGTTTCATACAAAATCTAAAAATTTTCGCTTAAATGTTCACACATCGACTTGAAATTTTACACGGAGCTGGGATTTGATTAAAAATGACTAAAGCCAAAAAATAATTACATTCAGTTGTTGTCTTGTTGACTAGAATTATGTTTAGTATATGTCAACAAAATGAATTTTTGTTTTTTCATTCGGAACCATTACACTAAACACATCCTGTTTATATTCTAGTATTAACTAGTAATTATGATGTAGTCTATGCCACGTATTCATAATTTTCATTTTTGTTACTTTTTGCACTTTGCTGTATCTTCAAAATGTAATCCTAGCAAAATGGCGCCCTGGAAATTATATTTTTGTCAAATTTTCTACATTTTTTTGTGTATATTGACGTTAATTTGTTTTAAAATACAATATAATATCCTTCTTTTTTATTTTCTGGTCGAAAAGGTGTTGTTAAATTTGAAAAGAACTAGCTAATGGTTTCCGTCACATAAGTGATCTTATGTGATTTTTCTAGGGAAAGTGTTTCAAAAATAATTTTTATAGCAAAATTAACGCCAAACATATTTTGTATAGACGTAGAAAATATAATCCTTTCGAGTTATTCTGCTATTAAATAAAAGAGTATTTCGATGAAGAACATATTTTTTCGCATCGAACGTTATGATTCCGCTAGAAAAATCGAGTGAATATTATTTTGAACTTGATAAAATACACATGTACCACCGTTCGGAAAACTTCGTCTTAGTGCTGTAAGACTCTTTATTTTTAATTGTTCTCAGATTTCTGTCTATAGAGTTTTGAATCCAACCATCCCGATTTTAGAATTTTAAATAATTTCCAAGTATTTTGTCCCTTAATTAAATCTGGAAGAATATATAGGAAATTCTAAAATAATGGATTAATGTGAATCTATTACAATCGTCTCTCGTTTATTAGAAGCTATAGGAGATTGACCTATTTGTATTATGGAATATATATGTACTATCGAAATTGTTTTCCATTTTTTAAAATATGCTTAATATGTTTTCAATTTGGAGTACGCAAAAATCTTCTTTTTGGCATAGTGTGCAGTTCAAGAATCAAAGTATTATACCAAAATCAAATGACTATCGATTCTAGATCAAATAAAATTCTTTCGAATTATCGAGCGTCACACACACAGGTTGGAATATAGAATCTCCTCCCAGAATTACATTTTTTTTCGTTTTTTGGCCAAATTTTCTCTATGCCATAATTAATTTGGGTTGATATGAACGCTCTAGAATAAAAACAACGTTTTGTTGTTGTAATCTATGTTAAAAAAACGCTGTGTTCCGCTTTGATATAACAACCATTCAGTTCTTTGTTTTTATTCTAGAGCGTTCATATGTACAATTTCTTGATAAACTAATTTTTGTATTCTTCCACCTTACAGTTATGATAATGTTGTATCGACACGGCATTACTGTTTTGCATCGCCATTATATTCTACAGTCTGGTCACCACCAAGTGGACGTCGATCTGCATCTCAGACGCCATTATTTGGAAGTATTCGAAGAGTTGAAGCTGATGATCAGGTGTGTAGTATGAATATCACGAAAAATTTAGCTTGATTTATTAACATTAACCAATTAAAATCATACGTTTTAGTTTATATATTATTTACAAAATACTTTTGCTACCAATATTTTCGTAGGAAAACGGAAAAAAACACATATATCTTACACCCAGGGCTTTAGATGGGAGTAGTTCTTGTATTGATGAAAACAACATCGCATCACCCCAAATACATCACATGTGCAGTATTAGAGAGTCAGATCTGGATACAAATACAAATTCCCCGAAGCACGTATATGCTTTTCAGTGATTGTGTACTTACGCAAAAGGGCTATATCGGTTTTAAAAATGGATTTACGATTTTCATTCTGCATTTTTCAAATATCTCATAAGACTTTTAGTCGAGGAGGTTTTTTCAACCAGAAAACAGATATTTGTAAGAATTCAGCGTAAAAATGACCAAGTCCATTGTCACAAAATGAAATGGATTAAAGATAATCTTATTTTTTAATTTACAAATAGGAAAATAATTTGACACCTGTGATTTGATGGAAATATATGTTCGTAAATATTAAAATTACACGAAAAAATTCAAAGATATTGGATTTTCTTTTATTTTTGTATGTTTTATTGAACAATATACTTTGGATAGGCATAGGTATATTGTATATGCAATGTAATCATTCAAAAATTATTAAATGATAATCATATCATTCAAAATCTTATGAGCTAAATCATAATTTCCAGATTTTCTATAAATTAAGTGTAAATTATAGGCAGCCTCCCTCCGCAAGTCTAAGTGTTTCGGATGTTTTTCGATTAATTCATTTGAAAACTTCAGCACCTGCTTATAGTAATGAACAGCGATGTAACACATACCTGAAAATGACCGGAGAAAATGAAAATATATAGGTACATTAAATGAAAAATATTGAGCAAAAACCACTCCTTAAACTTGGGATTTGGTAGTTGTATATGAACCTGTGGAAAAAATGTATTGATATTCAATTGAAATTTACAAGTAAAACGAACCGCGGCTCAAAAAAACTATGTTTTACGATTTCCAAGAATCTCTGAAATGTTAGCTTGTAGTTTTTGAATGTTCGCTATAAAGCACTCTGAATGTTTGCACTCTACTCGTTGTTCCGAAGACAATGATTCCACTATTCACTATCACTACCAAATCTCAATTTTTCTGCAATATTTTTGCTAAACGGTATCGCATCGTTTCTTATAACCAGATTAATCGAGATATTTGGAACAAAGTTCAATAAAAATATATATATATTAGGGTGGGTCAAATTATTAACCTCAAAGGCTTTTTGAGATTATGGTTCTACGGATCATAACAAGCATTTTTGCCCAAGGAACCATACCTCTATCGTGAACTTCGAGCCAGCCAAATTTTCTATCAAGATATTTTCCAAAATACTCAAAAATCGACTTAGACATTGCATAAAAAATTCAAAAAAACATTATTTTTTCTCTAGCCAAATGTGTATGCGAGGGTTTTTGGGATCGAGGAATCCATTTTTGACATTTATTTTTCCATATAATAACGTTTTTATACGATTTCCATACAAAAACTGGCAAAAATGGTCGTTTTTTTCTTTTTTTTCCAATTTTTTTCTGTTGATTTCGATTTTATCATCGGATCAGAAAATTATGTTCTACAAAGTTGTTCAGAATGATGAGAGAAATTTTTTGGGTCAGCTGCCCTCCAACTCCCCCACCCCAGGGGGTCATAGCCCCTTAACCCCTGATTTGTTTGACCTGAAACCCGAAAATTCGGCTTCAGCATGCCAAAAAAACCTTTAGAAAAAGTGAGATCCCCCCATTTGGGGTCAAATACAATGAGACTATGGGTTATTTTGTGAAAATTGTCTCGGGGGGCATCTGGAAAAAACATTTTCTAAAGGTTTTTTGGCATGCTGAAGCCGAATTTTTGGGTTTCAGGTCAAAAAAATCAGGGGTTAAGGGGCTATGACCCCCGACCCCTCCATGGGGTGGGGGAGTTGGAGAGCAGCTGACCCAAAAAATTTCTCTCATCATTCTGAACAACTTTGTAGAACATAATTTTCTGATCCGATGATAAAATCGAAATCAACAGAAAGAAATTGGAAAAAAAAGAAGAAAACGACCATGTTTGCCAGTTTTTGTATGGAAATCGTATAAAAACGTTATTATATCGCAAAATAAATGTCAAAAATGGATTCCTCGACCCCAAAAACCCCCGCATACACATTTGGCTAGAGAAAAAATAATGTTTTTTTGAATTTTTTAGGCAATGTCTAAGAAGAGGTGTAATGCGCTCAATAAGCGTAATGCTTTGTTTGCCGAACTTCGTATAGACAGTGCCATCTATATATAGAATGGGATATTATTTCACAAGTTTGAGAATGAGAGCATATGTTATTCCAAAAATTGTTGAAAAATAATTTAATAAATTGTT